AGAGAGAGAGAGGAGGACAATATGCATGTGCATTAGATAGAACAAGCTCACACCTAATCTGCATCAACTTCCAAGCTAGTCCATATCATCTACATGCTGTTTATATGATCCCAATAATATAATTTGTTACAAGAACAAAAAGGGGCCTATAAATGTCCATGCTCAAATTGATCATGCACAAAGAAAAACAGAGAAAAATTAATAAGGTAAAGTTAGGATGCCTGAGTACTGTGTAACCGGAGGAACTGGATTTATTGCAGCTTACCTCGTAAAGTCGTTGCTCGAAAAAGGTCACACTGTTAGAACCACGGTTAGAGATCCAGGTACATGTATCAAAATTGAAACTCCTGATTCAATCATTTCATACTTATCCTTCATTGTTTTCTTCTATTACATCAGAAAATGCAGAGAAAGTAGGCTATCTTTGGGAGCTAAATGGAGCCAAGGAGAGGCTCAAGATTATGAAGGCCGATTTAGTGAATGAAGGAAGTTTTGACGAGGCGGTTGAGGGAGTTGATGGGGTCTTCCACACCGCGTCTCCTGTGTTCGTCAGCCATGATGACAATGTTATGGCAAGTTACTTTACCATATATAAGATTCCAAATCCAAGAAAAAACGGAGGGCCTAGAGCCATCTCTGATTATGCTGGTGAATATTTGCAGGAAAAGCTGGTTAATCCATGCATAAAAGGGACCGTGAATGTGCTGAACTCGTGCAAGAAAGCCAAAAGTGTGAAAAGGGTTGTGCTCACCTCTTCTTCTTCTTCAGTTCGATACAGATACGATGTGGGAAAAGTGTCGCCGCTTAATGAATCTCACTGGAGTGATCCTCAATATTGTACAAACAACAATGTATGTCCCCAAACTCAATCAATTACGAAAATTACCCTGAATGCATATATAAACGTACGAGTAAGCCACTGAAATAATGCAGCTTTGGTATGCTTATGCCAAAACCATAGCAGAAAAGGAGGCATGGAAGTTTGCTGAGGAAAATGGGATTGATCTGGTGGTGGTGAACCCCTCATTCGTAGTTGGACCTCTGCTTGCACCTCAACCTACTAGCACTCTTTTACTTACATTGGCTATTATCAAAGGTAATAAGACTGTGTACTCTTTAAATTCGTGGATATTATTTGGCACTTACTTTCGAATTTCGACTCGACTTTTAGTTGTGATTTTTTTGTTCACGATTTAGGGGTAAGAGGGGAGTTTCCGAACCAGAGATTAGGTTTCGTGCACATAGATGACGTCGTGAATGCTCATGTCTTGGCAATGGAAGAAAGTAAGGCGTCGGGCAGGCTCATATGTTCCAACTCCGTGACACACTGGTCAGAGATCATTGAGATGTTACGGGCGAAATACCCGTCATACCCTTACGAGAACAAGTAAATCGATATATGATATGAGCTATCGACTACTGATGAAAACATGTTGCGAGTATGAGGATGAGATTTGTTTGGCCTTTTTTGCAGGTGTGGGAGTCAGAAAGGTGATGACAATCCACATAGCATGGACTGTAGCAAGATCATTAAGTTGGGCCTCCCTCCTATGAAAACATTGGACCAAATGTTTGATGACTGCATTGCAAGTTTTCAAGCAAAGGGCCTTCTTTAGTACTAGTTTTTGATTGAATTAAAATGGTGATCTTTTTACCATTTTTATGAACATTCAGGGATTTATATATCTATATTAATAATTGGGGTTATTAATGAAGTAGTAAGCACCATAGTTTTGCTCATTTGAAATTTACCAATTTTGGAATATTGTAATCATCTGTCTATCTACAAATCCATATATATCTATACAAAAAATTGTTATGACATTTACTTGAAATAGTATCCGTGTAAATTTTTCGTTAGAAACTTTGAGTTACTAAAGAAACAAAGAAAATTCTCTAGATTTTTTGTCTTTTTCCCTTTTCTTTTTTAACATTGCATATTCTCTTAAAAATAGCCTTTCTTAAAAATGGCATAAGAAAAATAATTTTTTTCTATAATTATATTGGTTATTGCAAGATTACTTATATTGATTATTGCAAGATTACTCAAATTGATAAAATAATATGTATAGAAATTTGTCTTAGCATTTTGTTCGTTAAAATACCATCCGTTTACAATATTTGATAACTTATGAACAAAATACTACAAAAAAATTAATTATTATACAACATATCTCTGTTATGTGATTGATAACTCATACTGGTATCGAGTCGTCATGTCAATTGCATAAGATTTTTACAAATTATTAGGCTTATGTTATTATAAAGATGCATAAAATAAGGAAATAATTCATTTATATTTAGATATATAAAAAGATGCATAAAATAAGAAATAATTCATTTATATTTAGATATATAATACATAATCTTAATATAATGTCATTTATTATGAACATTTACTACATGAATGACATAATATTTTTGATTTCATAATTTTTTTTTCCAACGATACAATCAACTCCATAAAACGACCCAAAAAACGGGCAATGTTTACAAGGGACCCCAATCCTAAGGAACTGGGAGGACAAGCCCTCCTAAACTGAGATACACATCAAACTAACCAACACAAATACCTACCAAACAACTAGATCCCGAAGCTAAACACAGACAAAATAGAACATTACAGCAAATATAAGCACAACTCACTTAACAATACATAACATAGTAAAGCACATACAAGATTCACAACCCACTTACACAAGACCTAGGCTAAGACCTTGACAATGCTCACTCCTTGTTGTTGTTGGTTTTGAAATCAAGCCAATCTCTTTGAGCAACTTTAATGATCCAGTCCTCATGTTGCCATTGTCTCTCAAACACCCACAAACTTTGAGCTCTCCATAGCCACCACAAAATATATGTGAAGAGCTGGATTCTGTCTTCAGAGATTTCATCATACTTCATTTAACTAAGCCACCACCACCATTGTTTGAATGTCATCTGTTCTTCATGCACCCTATTCCATTGAACCGGGGCTATCTGCCACACTCTCTTGGCTTTCCTGCAAAAAAAAAGAAAGTATGATCCAGGGATTCTGGCTCCTCCCCACAAACTCCACAGATAACATCCACCCTCATTCCTTTTTTTTGCAAACTGGTATTAACAGGGAGTATGTTGGAGAAAGCTTGCCAGATAATATTTTCACTTTCCCCATCACCTTAAGGTTCCAACATCTTCTTCTAGCTCTAATGTTACACCCTGTTAACCCACTACTTTCAGCCACTTCCTTCATCCTCAACTTCCTAGCCAGAAGTTTAGCATAAGTCTGCTTAACTGAGAACCTCCATTTAACTAGCAGATCACATTGCCAAATATCATCAAATCTGGGGTTCAAAGAGTTGATCTGGAGGATTTGATCTGCTGCCTCAAGAGTAAACAAAGATCTAACTAGAATGCTATCCCAATGCTTACCTCCAGCCATAATCAAATCTTTCACTCTAAAGAGCCCCCCTTCAATTCCAACTCTGAGATCAGGCTTCCCACACTTAATTCCAGGTACCCAGTTGACCTCATTAAGCCTAGTGTGAAGGCCATTCCTGATAGTGATTCTGAAGAACTGCTGCAAATCAGGAAGAAATGAAGCCCAAGAAGTCCACAACCACGATGCACCTACATTATTCTGCCACTCAAACATAGAGCACTCTTTGAAGTATTTTTGCTTTAAGATTTTGCTCATCAACAGATCAGGCTTCTCAATAATTCTCCACAGCTGCTTCATGATCAAAGCCTTGTTGAACAATTTCAGGTCTTTAAACCCCAGGCCCCCCCTCAGTTTTGGGATTTGCAAGATTATCACAAGAAAGCCAGTGCATCCCCTTGTCTTTATTATCTCCCTTCTGTCACCAGAATCTAGACATTAACCTGCACACTTTTTTGCACACACTAACAGGAATAACAAAACAAGACATGAAAAACACAGACAATGCACTAAGAACATGTTTCACCAAAACCTCCTTGCCAACAGTTGAAAGGAAATGATATTGTATCAATCGGGCGATTGTATTAGGCTACTGCCCAAGTTGATTGAGTTACTTTTAAGAGACATCTAAAATAGTCTAAAAACATGACACGACTGGGGTTTGTACCGAGTGACCAAGTTTTGGTTCAATATGGTCTGACAAAATCGATTATTGAAACCAAATATAAATTTTAATATTAATAATACTTTATTACGATAAATAGAATGTAGTCCAAACTTCAAATAATCATATTAAAATGCTTTTATGACAACATATTCAATTATTTATGAATATTTATATATCGGTTATTAATATTTATGTGAACAATATGATATTGTATTACAACTTTTATTAATGTACGGTAAATTCAAGGTTTCAAAAGCGGACCGTTATCAAACCATTAATTAATATACAACATATCTCTGTTATGTGATTGATAACTCATGCTGGTATCGAGTCGTCGTGTCAATTGCATAATATTTTTACAAATTATTAGGCTTATGTTATTATAAAGATGCATAAATTAAGAAATAATTCATTTATATTTAGATATATAAAAAGATGCATAAAATAAAAAATAATTCATTTATATTTAGATATATAATTCATAATAATAATATAGTGTCATTTGTTATGAACATTTACTACATGAATGACATAATATTTTTGATTTCATAATTTTTTTTTTTTCCAACGATACAATCAACTCCATAAAACGACTCAAAAAAGGGGCAATGTTTACAAGGGACACCAATCCTAAGGAACTGGGAGGACAAGCCATAGGCTAGCCTAAACTGAGATACGCATCAAACTAACCAACACAAATACCTACCAAAGAACTAGATCCCAAAGCTAAACACAGACCAAATGGAACATTACAACAAATATAACCACAGCTCACTTAACAATACATAACATAGTAAAGCCATACAAGATTCACAGCCCACTTACACAAGACCTAGGCTAAGACCTTGACAATGCTCACTCCTTGTTGTTGTTGGTTTTGAAATCAAGCCAATCTCTTTGAGCAGCTTTAATGATCCAGTCCTCAGGTTGTCATTGTCTCTCAAACACCCACAAATTTTGAGCTCTCCATAGCCACTACAAAATATATGTGGAGAGTTGGATTCTTGTTCGTTCCATTTTTGTCGTATTTTCCTCGTTTATTTTGCATTTATTTTCCCCCATTCTAGGTTATTTTCTTTGCTTCTTGGTCCATTTTATGTCGTGTCGTGTGTTTTCTTTATTTTGCTCGTTTTTGGTTTTTCTTGTTTCTTTTTCTCGGTTTTCTGCGTTTTTCTTGGTGGTGGCAATATGCAGGTTAGGTGGTTCGGTAAGCAGCCGTGAGGTGATCGTTGTCCAAGAGTTGGGGTCGAGTAGGAAAAGACGGAATCCAATTCCGAGTCCGAATGCGTGGATACGAGCCCGGAAATCACAATCATGTCACAAGAATCCTTCACCGCGGCCCGCGACAATGTTCCTGCGGCCGTGGTGAACAAATCGCACAAGCGCCCAGTTTTCTTCACCGTAGCCGCGGAGGAGGACGTCGCGGCCGCGAAGAGTGCAGATTTTCAGACCCAGAGTACAGAGACGAAAAGTTGCGGCCGCGGGACGAGTCGCGGCCGCGGACCGTTCCTTCACCGCGGCCGCGGGACATGTCGCGGCCGCGGAGCGCGCGTTTTCAGAATTAAAAATAGCAGTTTTTTTATTTTGTGGGCATTCGTTTTTGGATCGAGTCTTTGAACTCTCTAGGGATTTTCACCCAAAAACTCAAATTTTCTCTTGTTTCTGATCTTGTGATTCGATCTTGGAGAGAAAAACTCCGAGATTCGACTTTTGGATTCGGTTTGCTCTTGTTTTCGACATTGGATTATTCAATCGTAAGCTTTCATTTGGTTTTATTATTGATTGAATGGCTTTGATTATTATGTTTGTTGATGTTGAATGCATGATGAGTAGCTAAATCCATTAGCTAGGGTTAGGGGAAGATCATTCCGGTTCGATTTTGTTCTTATGCATGATAATTGCTTAATCCTCTCGAGTTGTGCTTAGCCTAGGGTTTTGATGTTTGATCACCATCTTAATCTAATTAATCGATTTTATAACTGAAAAGGGAGAAATCGTTCGATCTAGGCTCGTTAGGAGTAAGCTTGTTCGTAATAGTATTGCTTATGTGTTGATTGTCTCAAGAATTACTCGTTTATGTCTATCCTCTTGTTACGAAAAGTTATTGAGGATAGATCTCTAGATGAATAGTTTTGTGAGGCCTTTAACCGAGCTTTTGTTTGCTCGTTGAGTGCATTGAGAACCGGAATTGATTGACCCCGATACCCTAGCTCCTTTATAATTATTTGAGTTTGAACTTGTGATTCCTAGTTTTGTCTAGTTTTTTCCAATTACTTGCTTTTCAATTCGTAGTTGATAATATTAAACCAAATCAATCGTATTAGAGTGTTTAGGACTTTTTCATTATTTCGTGTGATTGAATATTCGCAGAGAATAATCCGGCTAACCTTCCTCGTGATACGACCCGGTGTCGAATCTTTGGATTCTACTCCGGTTAAAAATATTTACAACAAATTGGCGCCGTTGCTGGGGAAGGTTTAGGTTTATTTTGTGCACCTATTCATCTTGTTTTTAGTGTTTCTCTTATTTCT